CCATCCATCCATCCATCCATCTATATCGATATCTAGGCAGTCCCCAAGTAATGACCAAAATATGTTCTGTAGGTAGATAGATAGATAGATAGATAGATAGATAGATAGATAGATAGACAGACAGACAGACAGACAGACAGGAGCTTTGGATAGTTCTTATCTATCATATATAGATAAGAGCGATATATGTGTGTTTGTGTGTATGTATATATACAATGATTATATGTGTGTGCATGTGTATGATAGATATATGTGTGTGTATATATGATAGATATATGTGTGCATATATGATAGATATATGTGTGTATATATATGATAGATATGTGTGTATATACGATAGATATATGTGTCTGTATATGATAGATATGTGTCTGTATATATGTATATATGATAGATATATGTGTGTATATATGTGTGTATGTATGATAGATATATGTGTGTATATATGATAGATATGTATCTGTATATATATGTATATATGATAGATATATGTGTGTATATATGTGTGTATATATGATAGATATATGTGTGTATATATGATAGATATGTGTCTGAATATATGTGTATATATGATAGATATATGTGTGTACATATATGATAGATATATATGTGTGTGTATATGATAGATATATGTGTGCGTATATGTGTGCATATATGATAGATATATGTGTGTATGTATATATATATGATAGATATGTGTGTATGTAAATGTGTGTATATATGATAGATATATGTGTGTATATGTGTGAATATATGATAGATATATATGTATGCATATATGATAGATATGTGTGTGTGTATATGTGTGTATATATGATAGATATGTGTGTATATATGATAGATATATGTGTGTGTATATGATAGATATATGTGTGCGTATATATGATAGATATATGTGTGTATATATGATAGATAGATAGATAGATAGATAGATAGATAGATAGATAGATAGATAGATAGATAGATAGATGTGTGTATATATGATAGATATATGTGTACATGTGTGTATATAGGATAGATATACGCATGTATATAAGTGTGCATATATGATAGATATATGTGTGTGTGTATGCGCGCATACACACACACACACAGCTGGAATTACACTTAAGAAATGTACCTGTTCCAACTTACATACAAATTCAACAAACCTACTGAACGTAACTTGCTCATAACTTTGGCGATGGACTGACTACCTGTCGTCCTGTCTGTCTGTCTGTCTGTCTGTCTGTATATATATATATATATATATATATATATATATATATATATCGAGAGAGAGAGAGAGAGAGAGGGACATAAACACATATGCATGCATATCTATCTATCTATCTATCTATCTATCTATCTATCTATCTATCTATCCATCCATCCATCCATCCATCCATCCATCCATCCATCCATCCATCCATCCATCTATCTATCTGCATTTGTTAGAGCCAAGCATTTCTTGCCTCTCAAGTTCTCAGTCTCCGAAGCTTTTGACCGAGAGAAGTTTTCCCGTAGTAGAAGCCGTCTGGAGCTTTGGTTCTGAATGTTTAGGAAGCAGATCAGTGCCTGATTTGAGGATGCCAATCTTGTAATTAGTATTAGTTAATTAAGTGGCTGCGAGGAGGCTTGGCACCAGAAGGCCTTGGCAGATGCCTCCAGGGTTTGCCCCCCCCCCCCCCCCCCCGCTTTCTCCTTTTTCCTCCCAGTCCTCTGACTAAATGGTCGCAGGAAGTGGCTCTCCTGAATCACTTGCTATGAGATGGCTCTTTTTTTCTTGCAATCTTATCTAGAACAGTGTTTCTCAACCTTACAAATGCCGTGACCTCTTGATACAATTCCTCATTTGTGGTGACCCCCAACCATAACATTGTTTTCGTTGCTACTTCACGACTGTCATTTTGCTCCTGTTACGAATCGTCGTGTAAATATTTGATATGCGGGATATATTTTCATTTACTGGACCAAATTTGGCACAAATACCCAATTAAGCCCAGATTTGAATACTGGTGGGGTTGCAGAGACATTGATTTTTGTCATTTGGGAGTTGTAGTTGCTGGGATTTATAGTTCACCTACAATCAAAGAGCATTTTGAACTTCACCAACAGTGGAATTGAACCAAACTCAGCACACAGAACTCCCTTGACCAACAGAAAATACTGGAAGGGTTTGGTGAGCATTGACCTTGAGTTTGGGAATTGTAGTTCACCTACATCCAGAGAGCACTGTGGAGTCAAACAATTATGTATCTGGACCAAACTTGGCACAAATACTCAATATGACTAAATGTGAACACAGGTGGAGTTTGGGGGAAATAGAGCTTGACATTCGGGAGTTGTAGTTGCTGGGATTTATAGTTCACCTGCAATCAAAGAGTATTCTGAACTCCACCAATGATGGGATTGAACCTAACTTGGCACACAGAACCCCCATGACCAACAGAAAATACTAGAAGGGTTTGGTGCGCATTGACCTTGAGTTTGGGAGTTGTAGTTCACCTATATCTAGAGAGCACTGTGGACTGAAACAATGATGGATCTGGACCAAACTTGGCACGAATACTGGTGGAGTTTGGGGAAAACAGACCTTGACATTTGGGAGCTGTAGTTGCTGGGATTTGTAGTTCACCTATAGTCAAATAGCATTCTGGATTCACCAACTGAGTTGTAGTTGCTGGGATTTATAGTTCACCTACGATCAAAGAGCATTCTGAACTCCACCAACGATGGGATTGAACCAAACTTGGCACACAGAACCCCCACGACCAACAGAAAATACTAGAAGGGTTTGGTGCGCATTGACCTTGAGTTTGGGAGTTGTAGTTCACCTACATCTAGAGAGCACTGTGGACTCAAACATTGATGGATCTGGACCAAACTTGGCACCAATACTGGTGGAGTTTGGAAGAAACAGACCTTGACATTTGGGAGTTGTAGTTGCTGTGATTTATAGTTCACCTACAGTCAAATAGCTTTGTGAATCCACCAACTGAGTTGTAGTTGCTGGGATTTATAGTTCACCTACAGTCAAATAGCATTCTGAATCCACCAATTCATAGAATCAAAGAGTTGGAAGAGACCTCATGGGCCATCCAGTCCAACCCCATTCTGCCAAAAAGCAGGAATATTGCATTCAAAGCACCCCTGACAGATGGCCATCCAGCCTCTGTTTAAAAGCTTCCAAAGAAGGAGTCTCCACCACAATTGAGTTGTAGTTGCTGGGATTTATAGTTCACCTACAGTCAAATAGCATTCTGAATCCACCAATTGAGTTGTAGTTGCTGGGATTTATAGTTCACCTACAGTCAAATAGCATTCTGAATCCATCAATTGAGTTGTAGTTGCTGGGATTTATAGTTCATCTACAGTCAAATAGCATTCTGAATCCACCAACTGAGGTGTAGTTGCTGAGATTTATAGTTCACCTACAGTCACAGAGCATGATAGGATTGGGCCAAACTTCCCACATTTGGGAGTTGTAGTTGCTGGGATTTATACTTCATCTACAGTCAAATTGCATTGTGAATCCACCAACTGAGTTGTAGTTGTTGGGATTTATAGTTCACCTACAGTCAAATAGCATTCTGAATCCACCAATTGAATTACAGTTGCTGGGATTTATAGTTCACCTACAGTCAAATAGCATTCTGAATCCACCAACTGAGGTGTAGTTGCTGGGATTTATAGTTCACCTACAGTCACAGAGCATTCTAAATCCACCAATTGAGTTGGAGTTGCTGGGATTTATAGTTCACCTACAATCACAGAGCATTCTGAATCTACCAATTGAGTTGTAGTTGCTGAGATTTATAGTTCACCTGCAGTCACAGAGCATGATAGAATTGGGCCAAACTTCCCACATTTGGGAGTTGTAGTTGCTGGGGTTTATACTTCATCTACAGTCAAATAGCATTGTGAATCCACCAGCTGAGTTGTAGTTGCTGGGATTTCTAGTTCACCTACAGTCACAGAGCATGATAGAATTGGGCCAAACTTCCCACATTTGGGAGTTGTAGTTGCTGGGATTTATACTTCATCTACAGTCAAATTGCATTGTGAATCCACCAACTGAGTTGTGGTTGCTGGGATTTCTAGTTCACCTACAGTCACAGAGCATGATAGGATTGGGCCAAACTCCCCACATTTGGGAGTTGTAGTTGCTGGGATTTATAGTTCACCTACAGTTAACTAGCATTCTGAATCCACCAATTGAGTTATAGTTGCTGGGATTTATAGTTCACTTACAGTCACAGAGCATTCTGAATCCACCAACTGAGTTGTAGTTGCTGGGATTTATAGTTCACCTATAGTCAAATAGCATTCTGGATCCACCAACTGAGTTGTAGTTGCTGGGATTTATAGTTCACCTACAGTCAAATAGCATTCTGAATCCATCAATTGAGTTGTAGTTGCTGGGATTTATAGTTCACTTACAGTCAAATAGCATTCTGCATCCACCAATTGAATTGCAGTTGCTGGGATTTATAGTTCACCTACAGTCAAATAGCATTCTGAATCCATCAATTGAGTTGTAGTTGCTGGGATTTATAGTTCACTTACAGTCACAGAGCATTCTGAATCCACCAACTGAATTGCAGTTGCTGGGATTTATAGTTCACCTACAGTCAAATAGCATTGTGGATCCACCAATTGAGTTATAATTGCTGGGATTTATAGTTCACCTACAGTCAAATAGCATTCTGAATCCACCAACTGAGTTGTAGTTGCTGGGATTTATAGTTCACCTACAGTCACAGAGCATTCTGAATCCACCAACTGAGTTGTAGTTGCTGGGATTTATAGTTCACCTACAGTCACAGAGCATTCTGAACCCCACCAATAATAGAATTGGGCCAAACTTCCCACACAGAACCCCCATCACCAACAGAAAATACTGTTTCTGGTGGTCTTTGGTGACCACTCTGACAGCCAGGTTGAGACACACTGATCTCTAAGGACCACATCAGGTGTGTGTGTAGGTGTCCCCCAAGCCTTCCTTTCCCATCACTTACCTCTCACTCCTTTGATCCCACCAAATCCCTGGTTTCCCGTGTAATTCCCAACAGGGTGGCAATGCTCAGGTCTCCTTCCACGTCCCATAAGACTTGGGCTGTGCCGAGCCTTCGGAGGAGAACCCACTGCTTCATCGTGGGCAAGGAGAAGACAAACCCCCCACTCTCCCAGCCTTGTTTTATTCCTTTTCGTGGAGTGTCCAAATGTACCTGGAGACAGGGTTTCGAAAATGGCCCAAGTACATCCAGGTGTTGCCCTTTTGGGTTCACCCCAATGGGCTCAGGAGGGGTTTGGAAGAGGCCCAAAGAGCCATCCTTTGCCTTCCTCGCTCCCACCCAAGAAAAAAGAAGTCTTCTGGCTTTGGATCCCACTTTGGTCCTGGATTTCAATCTGGGCTGGGTGGTGCTCCAGAAGAAGGTGCCGGCCAGGCTCTTGCGGCTGGAGTTGTGGCCACTTTCTTGGTGCCTCTCCTTCTCCTGTGGTGTTGTCCTCTCATTCCCCGGCTGCTGCTGCTGCTCCTTCTTCGTTGGCTATTTGATCCAGAGTGAACCGATGGTGATGATGATGATGTTGATGCTTCTGCGGTGGAGTGCAGTTCAGGAGCGCAGCCTGTCTCTTCCAGGGAGGAAGAATGTCACACAGGCAACAGGGAGATCCATCCAGAGCTCTCTCTCCCTCTCCCTCCTTCTCATCACCACACATAACACTGCACTCCCTCCTACTGCTGCGCTCAAGAACAGCAGCTTCCCAAGCACATCGCAGCCACATCAGACTCTTTCGCATGCCGTGCCACATTTCCTCCCCTTCTCCTATCTTGTCCTTCTTTCTCCCCACGCTCAACTCTTCCTTCTGTTCTCTCGGCACACTTCCGTCTCAGCCGCCTTCCAAGTTTGCACCGGTTGCTAACTCTGGCCTCTTCCACACTGACATATCACCCAGATTCTCAACAACAACAACAACAACAACAACATTTTATTATAGAATCAAAGAGTTGGAAGAGACCTCCTGGGCCATCCAGTCCAACCCCATTCTGCCAAGAAGCAGGAAAATTGCATTCAAAGCACCCCCGACAGATGGCCATCCAGCCGCTGGTGGCGAGTCAAGCCAACCCTGACCGGGATCACCTATCGAGGTCAGCTGTGACCAGCAGTGCTGCAGAATTCAAAGAGGCATGAATGGAGGGCGAAAGGGAGAAATGTGCCAAGAGGAAGGCGAGTCAAGCCAACCCTAGAATCATAGAATCATAGAATCCTAGAGCTGGAAGAGACCTCCTGGGCCAACCAGTCCAACCCCATTCTGCCAAGAAGCAGGAATATTGCATTCAAAGCACCCCCGACAGATGGCCATCCAGCCGCTGGTGGCGAGTCAAGCCAACCCTGACCGGGATCACCTATCGAGGTCAGCTGTGACCAGCAGTGCTGCAGAATTCAAAGAGGCATGAATGGAGGGCGAAAGGGAGAAATGTGCCAAGAGGAAGGCGAGTCAAGCCAACCCTAGAATCATAGAATCTTAGAATCCTAGAGTTAGAAGAGACCTCCTGGGCCAACCAGTCCAACCCCATTCTGCCAAGAAGCAGGAATATTGCATTCAAAGCACCCCCGACAGATGGCCATCCAGCCGCTAGTGGCGAGTCAAGCCAACCCTGACCGGGATCACCTTAAAGGAAGGCAAGTCAAGCCAACCCTGACCGGAATCACCTTCTATCGAGGTCAGCTGTGACCAGCAGTGCTGCAGAATTCAAAGAGGCATGAATGGAGGGCGAAAGGGAGAAATGTGCCAAGAGGAAGGCGAGTCAAGCCAACTCTAGAATCATAGAATCTTAGAATCCTAGAGTTGGAAGAGACCTCCTGGGCCATCCAGTCCAACCCCATTCTGCCAAGAAGCAGGAATATTGCATTCAAAGTACCCCAGACAGATGGCCATCCAGCCGCTGTTTAAAAGCTTCCCTGAGAAGGAAGGTAGAAGGAGCCTCTACCACAGGGGTTCTCAACCTTCCTCATGCTGCGACCCCTTAATACAGTGTTTCTCAACCTGGGGGTCGGGACCCCTGAGGGGGTCGCGAAGGGGTGTCAGAGGGGTCACCAAAGACCATCAGAAAACACAGTATTTTCTGTTGGTCATGGGGGTTCTGTGTGGGAAGTTTGGCCCAATTCTATTCCAGGGGTCCCGACCCCCAGGTTGAGAACCACTGCTCTACCACATTCCGGGGCAGAGAGTTCCACTGCTGAACGGCTCTCACAGTCAGGAAGTTCTTCCTCATGTTCAGGTGGAATCTCCTTTCTTGTAGTTTGAAGCCATTGTTCCATTGCGTCCTAGTCTCCAAGGAAGCAGAAAGGAAAGCACATCACATTGTTGGCTCATGTTTCACTTGCTGTCCACGAGGACTCCAAGATCTTTTTCACATATTCACAACAACAACAACAACAACAACATTATTTTATTATAGAATCATAGAATCCAAGAGTTGGAAGAGACCTCCTGGGCCATTCAGTCCAACCCCATTCTGCCAAGAAGCAGGAATATTGCATTCAAAGCACCCCAGACAGATGGTCATCCAGCCTCTGCTTAAAAGCTTCCAAAGAAGGAGGCTTCACCACACTCCAGGGCAGAGAGTTCCACTGCTGAACAGCTCTCACAGTCAGGAAGTTCTTCCTAACGTTATGGTCCAAAGACCATTATTGCCCTGGGTTGTTGTAGGTTTTTTTCGGGCTGTATGGCCATGTTCTAGAGGCATTCTCTCCTGATGTTTCGCCTGCATCTGTGGCAAGCATCCTCAGAGGTAGTGAGGTCTGTTGGAACTAAGAAAAAGGATTTATATATCTGTGGAATGACCAGGGTGGGACAAAGGACTCTTGTCTGTTGGAGCTAGGTGTGAATGTTTCAACTGACCACCTTGATTAGCATTGGATGGCCTGGCAGTGCCTGGGGCAATCTTTTGTTGAGAGGTGATTACCTGTCCCTGATTGTTTCCTCTCTGTTGTTTTGCTGTTGTAATTTTAGAGGGTTTTTTTAAATACTGGTAGCCAGATTTTGTTCATTTTCATGGTTTCCTCCTTTCTGTTGAAATTGTCGACATGTTTCTTGTGGATTTCAATTGCTTCTCTGTGTAGTCTAACATGGTGGTTGTCCAAGTGGTCCAGCATTTCAAAAGATTGCCCCAGGCACTGCCAGGCCATCAAATGCTGATCAAGGTGGCCAGTTGAAACATTCACACCTAACTCCAACAGACAAGGTGGTCAGGGCAGGGTTGGCTTGACACGCCTTCCAATTGGCACATGTCTCTCTTTCACCCTCCATTCAGGCTTCTTTGAATTCTGCAGCACTGCTGGTCACAGCTGACTTCCAGCGAGATCACTCAAGGGCCAGGGCTTCCCAGTTCTCAGTGTCTATGCCAGAGTTTTTAAGGTTGGCTTTGAGCCCATCTTTCAATCTCTTTTCCCGCCCACCAATATTCTGTTTTCTGTTCCCAAGTCCGGAGTAGAGTAACTGCTTTGGGAGAAGGAGATCTTTGGGCATCTGGACAACGTGTCCGGTCCAGCGGAGTTGATGGTGGAGGACCATTGCTTCAATGCTGGTGGTCTTTGCTTCTTCCAGCATGCTGACATTTCCCCGCCTGTCTTCCCGAGAGATTTGCAGGATTTTTCAGAGGCAACGCTGATGGAATCGTTCCAGGAGTTGCATGTGACGTCTGTAGACAGTCCACGTTTCGCAGGCGTATAGCAGGGTTGGGGGAACAATGGCTTTATAGACAAGCCTCTTGGTCTCCCTACGGATGTCCCAGTCCTCAAACACTCTATGCTTCATTCTGAAAAATGCTGCACTCGCAGAGCTCAGACGGTGTTGTATTTCAGTGTCAATGTTGACACTGAAATACAGTGTCATCCAGATTGTATAGAAGAGGCCTGTGTGGCCCTTTTTCTGACAACGCTGTGGGCTGCCCCACATAATCGCTACCCATTGGAGAGAGGACAGTATGGCTTGAAAATCCTGTGTGCAATAAATTCCCCAAAGCAAGACTCCCTTCTTGCCAATGTGCAGTGGAAACTTGACTTAAGAGCATCACAACCTAAGAATGTTTTGAGTTAAGAGCTGTTGCTCCACCTGGGTTTTGCTTTCACATGATAGCAGTGTTTTGAGTTGAGAGCTATTACTTTGTCACTTTCACTTTGAGTTGGCGCATGTTACTCAGCTCCCGTTTTGCTTTGACATACGAGCTGTTTTTTGAGTTAAGAGTGAGAACAAGAGGAAAGATGGACCGCAAATGATGGGATTTGCAGTACTTTCATCCACCTCCCGAGGCCACTGCGATCCCCACGAATGACGGTCCTGGACCACACTTGCCAAAAACAACCCCCATGACCCACTATACGTCCTAGTGCAGTTTGGGGAAGGATGGACCACAAATGATGGGATTTGCAGTACCTTCATCCACCTCCCGAGGCCACTGCGATCCCCACGAATGACGGTCCTGGACCAAACTTGCCAAAAACAACCCCCATGACCCACTATATGTCCTAGTGTGGTTTGGGGAAGGATGGACCATTAATGATGGGATTTGCAGTACCTTCATCCACATCCCAAGGCCACTGCGACCCCCACGAATGATGGATCTGGACCAAACTTGCTAAAAACATCCTCCATGACCCACTATACGTCCTAGTGCAGTTTGGGGAAGGATGGACCACTAATGATGGGATTTGCAGTACCTTCATCCACATCCCGAGGCCACTGCGACCCCCACGAATGATGGATTTGGGCCACACTTGCAAAAACACTTCCCCATGACCCACTTTAGGTCCTGGTGTGGTTTGGGGAAGGATGGACCACAAATGATGGGATTTGCAGTACCTTCATCCACATCCCAAGGCCACTGCGACCCCCACGAATGATGGATCTGGACCACACTTGCTAAAAACATCCTCCATGACCCACTATACGTCTTAGTACAGTTTGGGGAAGGATGGAACACTAATGATGGGATTTGCAGTACCTTCATCCACATCCCGAGGCCACTGCGACCCCCACAAATGACGGACCTGGACAAAACTTACCACGCAGATTCTCCATGACGTACTTTACATCCTGGTGAATTTTGGGAGAGGATGGCCTGGGGATTATATCAAAAATTGGCTTTTTTCTAATAAATAGTGTTACTAATTAACTAAATATTACCTAACACCCCAAAACAAACAATACCTTTCTCCAATAACCCGGGCATCGCCGGGAACTCAAGCTAGTAATTATATAAAACACACATTACATAAATACCTTAAATAAATATATTAAAATACACAATACACTGATTCAAATATAGTGGACACAAGAGTCATGATTAAAATTCATAAATATTAATGTGATTCAGCTGATATGGCACACCTTAAAAACAGCACGGCACAAGACGAAAAGCCCCCTCCCGGTCCGTTTTAATAAGCCTCGTGGCATGCAAAACAGCATCAGAAGGTGAGCAAATGGCTTAACAAGGCCTCGACTCTTCTCCACCCAAGAGGGCTGATGCAAACTACAAATCCCACAATTCTGTTGCATTGAGCCAAGGAAGTGAATGTGGTGTAAATGCACCCCTGGTCTTCTCCACACTCGCATATCGTGGATTCCACTTTGTGGCCCCATTTCTGAAGGTTGGCTCTGCATCTCGTGGTGCCAGAGCGCAGTCTGT